CGGCACGAGCCAAGACCGAAAAAAACGCGCCAAGTTAGGTCGAATGTGAAGGTTTTGCTTACAGTTTTCTTCGATTGCAAGGGTAGAACAGTCAATAAGGGATTTTACCTCCAAGAATCAGTTTGCTCTTATAGTTCGTTCGTTCACTGTTAAAGCGCTTTAGGTTCGAAGAAGATGGAGACCTTTTAATCAATAATTAAATAAAATAATAAATGTGGAAATCAAAAGTGCTTCATGGAAAATACCCGAACCAACAGCAGCAGAAACATATAGATAAAGAAGCTTCTAATATGTGGTTAAAGAAAGGAAATATATTCTCAGAAACTGAGAGATTCATAATAGCGATTCAAGACAAAATAATAAAAACAAAAAAATCCCCCAATTTCATCGGACACATGCCCAACATACAACACATCTCGCGAAACAATTGACTACATCACCAGTGATGGGTTCGTGAACTACATAAACCTAGTAACGGTTCGACCAAAATATCCTTGGAGAGAAATACCGCGGTCAATTGACTACACTGTGATTTCGATGTAGGTTAGCCTTATAAAATTGGGGCGGTTGACGCCACATACCTCTCAGAAAAATATAATTTCGAACTGAATCATTTTATGGAGGTAAATTTAAGCGAAAGGTGACTACTATTTTGCTGAACTCCCCCGGGAAGTCATAGGGTTTTACCGACCATTAGTGACCTCAAACGATCCTTCAGTGTTCCCTGTTGTTGGGATATCTGTCTAGATATCTGGGACTTAAGAATTCCTTATTCTTATGATCATCATGGACAGTGGGCGTGGTGGAAAAGAAAAGGTTAGAAGGGTTCGAAATGTGGTGTTACAGGCGAATGATGAGGATACCGTGGATAGAGAAGGTTAGAAATGAATAGACAGGTATTAGAAGAATAGGACTCTATGGAAGTCAATAAAAAATAAGCGAGATAGGTTAGTAGGACGGTTTCACAGGCATGAAGGACTAGTCACAGACATATTAGAGGCAGAAACGGAAGTTAGGAGGGGTAGAGGTAGACCTAGATTAGATTACTGTTCGCAAATAGTTAAAGATGTGGGTTGTTCTAGTTTTAGGGAAATGCGAAGATTAGCTCAGGATAGGAAAGAGTGGAGGTACGTGTCCAACCAGTCTAAGGACTGACGACCTTATTATGATGATGAGATCAAATACAACTAAATCAAATGATTTTTTGTACAAGAAAAATCGACTTCTTAGTCAATAATTTATAAAAAGTACTACCAGGCGAGTTCTCTATAGAACGTCATATAAACACTTTCGATAGATCCACGTGCCCATGATGTGCCTACGCGTACAAGCGCAAAATGTTTTATTTACAAGTATTGTAATCTAAAAATGAAGTTTTGTAAACCAAAGTAAACACGTATATGTAATACATGTATTACATTTAAATAACAAAAAATTTCCTAAAAAAATAAGCGATATCGTCATATTTGTCACTCGTACTCTTATCTGTTTTAATATTAATATCATCTTGTAAATATTTACCTAACGTATATAAAATTAGCAAATTATAGTTGGTTGTTATCTTCCTGTTATTGTTTATTTACATCCCATTTCCCATTTTCTATTTTGTAGAATACTTTATTAGCATATCACAATCTTATCAGAACATTATTGTTTATAATCAAACCGAGAAACGCACATAAATGTACAATGTATTATCGCAGATAACATTTAAACAACCAATTTACCTGGAAATATCACTTCTACTTTATTCTCAGACCCATATTTGGCAGACAAAAGTAAAAGACTTTAAATGCATACATCAAATCTAAGTTTCGGTATTACCAATGAAGTTTTTGAAAACCTACAAAGATTGGTAAATTTTTGAAATACACTAGAGTATATTTTATTTATTTTCATAAAGGAAACGTGTCAGTCATTTTAAGAAGTAATTAAAATTTAAATTTGTGAATTGCAGCTCAAAATGTCAAGTTATAACGTCAAAGGAATATTAAGGTTGACCTATTAGCGTGCGATTCTGATGTAAATAAACTAAAAAATATTAACCACCGTTGCAAATTAAAACGGGTGTATTACCTAAAAAAGGAGAAACTTCAGATACATAGATCAACGGTAGTTGGAAGCATTAGAATCACGGGTAGGAATAAATAAGAGCAGAAAAGTATCTAGACTAGATTACTGTTCACAAATACAGTGAATTTCGGGTATAACGACGATGAAGGGACCACTGTAATATCTTCGTTATATCCGGAAGTCGTTACAGACAAAGCCAAAGAGATACAGAAACGAATGTATAGTTTTCACCACTTTTCAATTTTGAAATTATTTCCACCTTTTCTTTGACAGTTGCTACTCAGAATATCACTGTGTAACTGAACATCTATAAACAATTGTAAAGGTCACCATAGTTGCTGACGATCTGTGTTAATGTAAACAAAAGATAAAAAAGTTCTTTGTGTCTTTGGTGGCCGATTTCGGTCGCTATATCTGCATCTGGGATTTCTTACAAATGATTCATTTAAAACAGTCGCTATATCCGATTTCGGCGTTACATCAGAAGCCGTTATAGCCACATGAAATTTGCACTAAAATTCTTTAAATTCAAGGGACTTAGATTGAACGTCGCTATAACAGAATGGTCGCTGCAACTAAGGTCGTAATATATCTGAACGCGCTCAAGTTGAATTGCGTTTTCATCTAAACTCCATCGAGTTCTACACTCTACAGTCGTTATAAATAAAAAAAAGTGGTTGCAAGGTTTACTGTAGTTCCCAAATTCGCTGAATTAGTCAAAACCAATCCAAATTACCTTTTTTGCATTAAAACAGTCTCGAAGAAAAGTTCTTAAACCAAGTAAATTGAAACAAATATTTGTTGCCACAATTGCGTTATTTTTTTTTTTTAGTACTAACAGTATTTTATATGGCAATGATGGTAGAAATACTGGCGGTCAAATTTAATTACAATAGAGGCAAAAGTGAGGAGCAGTGAATTTAAATACATATACCACTGTGTGGGTTATTTCAGTTCTGAGAAAATGCGAAGATTTCCTCTGAATAGGAAACAGTGAAGGTGCGTCTTCTACAGCAAATCATCGGAATAACGACTAAGAATGGGAAAATGTTTAATCGTTTAATTTAATTTCTGGATTATGTAAGGGAAAGATATAATTGCTCTTTAAAAAGACAATTTCAACTATACCTAGCTCTCCTCTTTCTACTCTAATAAGGATTCCATGAAACGTTGTATGTGTTACCGGAAATGTATGAGCTCCGTCATTGTATACAATTCCTAGGAATATATAATTCCTAAAATCGCCCAGAAATGTGTGAAACAAATTATATTAGACATATTTCCAAGGAAAAAAGGAAAAGTAAATACGCTATAATTTAGTGTTCTAACTAAAATTTTAGTGCTCCATCACTTCATCATCATCATAAGGTTGTCAGTCCTAAGACTGGTTGGACATGCACGTCCACTCATTCCTATCCTGGGCTAATCTTCACATTTCCCTAAAACTAGAACATCTCATATCCTTAACTATTTGCGAAAGGTCTATCTAGGTCTACCTCTACCCCACTTAACTTCCGTTTCTGCCAATATGTCTCTGACTAGACCTTCATGCCTGAGAAGGTGTCCTACCAACCTATCTCGCCTATTTCTTACTGACATCCATAGAGTCCTCTGTTCTCCTATTCTTTTCTAACCTTTTCTATCCATATTATCCTCATCATTCGCCTATAACAGTACATTTTGAATCCTTCTAACCTTTTCTATTCCGCCGCGCCCACTGTCCATGTTTCGCACCCGTACAATGCCGCGCTTCGAACATACACCTTTAACAACCTCTTTCGAATTTCTAAATTAATCGTTCGCGAGCATAGAAGTCTTCTTCTTATTAATGATGACACGACCCTGCGTTATCCTCTGCTTTATACCCCTTCTACTGCTTCCGTCCTAACTTATCTGACTTCCTAGATATCTAAAATCAGCCAGTTCTTCTAATTTTTCTTTTAATGCAGTTCTCTGTTCTCCTCTTCTTTCTAATGCCTCCTCATTTCTATCCACGTTATCCTCATCATTCGACCATAACACCACATTTCGAACGCTTCTTTTCTTTTCCGCCGCACCCACAGTCCGTGTTTCGCCCCCATCAGCGCCGCCCTCCAAACATACACCTTTAAAATTTTTTTTCGAATTTCCAAATGAACCATTCGAGAGCTTAGAAGTAACTTCTTTTTATTGAAGGAGACTCGACCCTGCGCTATCCTCTGCTTTATATCCCTACTACTCCTTCCATCCTGACTTATCTGACTTCTTAGGTATCTAAAATCAGCCACTTCTTCTAATTTTTCGTCTCCTATCTTTATATTAGCTCTTTCCCTACTTTTTCTTCTTTTGCATACCAATATTTTTGTTTTACTTTTATTAATCTTTATACAACACTGTTTTGTCAATACCACTCCCTTTTTTATCTCTTAACTCCTCCATGCTAGATGCTAATACTGCTATATCATCTGCAAATCTGAGCATACTATTCTTTTGCCTCTGTATTTCTATCCCTACAGTTGTACTGTCTTTAATGAAGTTACTTATACATTTGAAAAACAGTTGTGGTTATGAGTAAACCATGGATTGCACCCTAATGCCAATACTTCATAGTAAACTACTTTGTATCCAAAAATAAGTAAATACGCAACAATTTATTACCTTACGTTTTTTCCAGTGCATTTCAAAGTGCACTCTCTGAATGCCCGTCCTTCCTAGGATATGTTCAACTGATAAGATAAACTGTGTAAACAAAGTAGTTTGTTTATGTGACACTAACCAACCTAACGCGTTACTTATTAACAATTTACCAAAGAAATTATATTTTTAAAGTGAATGTTTTCGTCCTAATCTTATTTACAATTTAATTTCGGAAAAATGTTATACATAACAAACACAGAGAATACACGAACGTAATAATCATAACTTAAAAATAAAAAACGTACACTTACCCCCCAAAATACGTTCTTTCAAGCAAATATCCCCTGCTCCTGCATCTAATTTACCTGTTAAAAAAATAAATAAATTATTCGAGAAACCTTTTAAGTAACAAAATTTATAATATAAGTACTGCCTAACTATTATCTACTTCATTAAACCCTATCCTGTCCTAACATATAAATCACGGCCGCTGGCAGGAGGGTAGTAGTGAGTTCACCCTCAAGGTATATTCAAAACTTTCTGTTTGCAAAAAATGATTTAAAACCATATTTATGAAAACTAGAGAGGGAGGAGGGCTCTTGGCATATACTACGGGAGGTCACCAAGGGGGGAGGGGGATTAAAAAACTGTAAAATATGCGGCACGTAATATGGGTACGGTCCCTTAGTTACGTAGATTGCACTAACGACAACGGTCACACGTGTGCGTGAATGACTTATCGATTCGCCGACAAGCCGCGGGCGCCTTTGTTCATGTGCTCCGTATTTGTAAATGTGTGTGTCGTATCTGCATTCTGGGAAAGCAGTTAAACAGTTCAAAGAAAAAAGAAACTATCCGGATGTTTCCAGAAGGTTCCCGAAAGTAAACAAAAGAGTATTTAAAGGAAGAGTCGATCGCCGAGAGGGAAAGAAATAAATCGACCGTTGCAGAAGTGAATCGAGAAATAAATTGACAGTGATAGCAGTGAAATAAATAGCGCAGCGAATAGTGATATGTCAACAGTAGTGTAAATAAATAGAATAATTCATCACCTAAGTTTAGTAATAATTTAATAGTCTTTTTAAGTTCTTTAATAATTAGTGTAAATAAATAGTTTTGTCGTTATCAGTCTTAGAAATTAATTTTTTTAAACCCACGAGCATTACAACATCAATCTTTATTTGCAACGTTTCATTAAAATCCCTATGTTGTGACCCCTATTTTCGATTCAGGAGTGCATTCGCCGATTGATTATATACAGCACCATTATGTCTGAAAAAAACAAAAACAAAAACAAAAGAGAAACTTCCCCGATTGTTCTACTGTAGGTACAATTAAAAATTAACCCGTTTTTGTTTACAAGTTGGTATAAGCAGCATAACGAGCGAACTTTAAATGTTCTATGTGTAGAGGGGGCGGTAAATTCAACTGCTGCAACATTTACATTTTTAATCACGTTTTATTACGATCATTACTACCAGAGTCGAGTCGGTAAATGCTTATAATATTCGCCGAATTTATGTTACTTTACGATTATGTGAATTTTTATTGCGTAATAATCTTTATGCATTATACATACAAGACAGCTATAATTTCCGTATAATAAAATCTACTGAATTTTAACGAAGCTACGCTTCCACGCATTTTACTCATAGCTTCGAATACAAACATTTAAAGAAAAAACGCAAAAAAATCGACCAATACCGAATCACGTAGTGCTAGATTTACACTTATATTAGACCCGTGGGTCCAGGGCCTTAGGGCAGCTAGAATTTCAGGGATATCAAAATTTTACAAATGAGCAATATTTCACCATTTGGACTTCTCGTATTCGTACATTTAAAAAACACCTGACTTACGTCTTAAACAATAGGTAGAATGTTCCTAATTATGTAATTTCGGAACCTTTACAATTTTTTTTTGTCACATCCTTGTGTGTGTGTGTGTATATGAGTGTCAGAGATTGAATTTATTTATTTATTTAAATGCAAATACAAAATAAAAAATACCTATTTTTATCTTGTATTTAAATAGTTTTTGGAGAAAAGGTTTTTGTATTTTATCTAAAATACTCTTTCAAACGTATTTTCTATTTGTTAAATGGAAAATAAATTTTTGCCGTTAAAGGTTTTGCTAATATCACCGTATAAAATGATGAATGAAAGTTGCTCACATTGACCTTTGAAGGTATATTAGAAGCTTAAAAAGGGAACAAACAGACATTCCATTAATGCCTTCTAATTCATTAACTGAAAAGAGCCCAAAAAATTCTAAACTCCTTGGAAATGGATAATCTAAAATATTGGATCGATATTGTTTTTCGGGTTCAATGTAATGGTTCGTGGAATTTTGAAGTTCCAAATTGATATCAGCACCTGCCAAATCACCGCTTATCGTACCTTTAGCAAGGAACTACGAAATTCTATGAATTACGAAAAAACAGCCCGCAAAACAATATCGAATGGATATACGTCAGCTGTGTAAAACTGAAAACTGCAAGATATTGTGGTTTGCTAATAAATGAGTATAAACTAAAATTCTAAGAAAAAAATTAGAAAAACTTCACTAATTAGATGAACCCAAAGCTAAAGAAACTGTGGATGTCATTTCTTTCTCTTATTATAATCTGTAAAAGATCAGAAACAAAATGGGATTGTAAATATTTTGATATAAAATGATTGATCTTGATTTTACAACAATAAAATTACTTGCAACCCTATTTTGGCTCTGATCTTTCACGCTAAACAGACTACTTTGGCATCAGTGTCTTTTTTCCAATTAAAACGGGTAACCAAGGCAAATAATGGAGCATATAGAAGAATTATTTGTTGCTGAACTGAAGAAACTATAACATAAAGATAGAAAAACTCAATCACACACCACTATTAGTCTAGAAAAACACCAATATTTTAAAAATGAGCAAATGCCTGCAAGATTTTCTTGAAAAATATTTTATACTTAAGTAAATGTAGAAAATTAAATTGGTACCACAAAAAAGTTGAACCTGGGACCTTTGGCTTTACGGATTCGATTCCCGCCGGGGGGTGACAACAACAACAAAAATATTTTCCTCATTAATTTGAGGAAATTTGTAGTGGTTCAAAATCGAAAAATGATTTCAAATTAATATTGCAAAAAAGTAGTTGTTTGAAAAAAGTATTTTAAAAGTACGTATTCTGCATTTAACTTTTAAAATACAAAAGGGAAATCTATTTTGCATTTTACCTTTGAAATGACAAATCAAAAAAATATTTGCATTTTGTATTTATATACTTTTAAAAAACCATTTTACAGATCTCTAATGGGTATGGAGTTTCTTTTTAAAGAGCATCTTATTCGTAGGATCATTTATGACTCCGAAGTTATGAAAAGTTGCCACGCTTTCGATGCGCCACTACAGGCATAAACACGTTTAATATAACATTATATTCATTGTGTTATTTTAATAGTTGCCGAGACTTCGAGGTAACCTAACCTAACCTAACCTAATGTAACCTAACCTAACCTAACCTAAACTAACCTAATGTAACTCAATCTTTACCCACGTTGTCAACGTAGCACTACTGAAGATGCCAATCCCAACTGCTGACAAAACGTCTGGACGTAACAGTTCATTTAGACCACGACATAGATTCTGCCCGTGAAAGCCTTTCGTCACTACATTATTGTCACGTATTGATACACCTCGCACTTTTACTACCTTTACTTAACTAATTGCTGTCTAATTAACACTTCTATTACTTATTACTTATCAATTGACCGCTGTATGAACACTTTGTTACCTATTCGCTTTTATATCGCCTCGAGTTCGTACTCATGCAGCTCATTCGATCTCGCGACAACTATTCATGTGTTCCAGAATGTTCTAGTATATATGCCGTCTAGAATCGTGGTTTTCTTTGCCACGATGTATGTTGGGTTGCCTATATGCTTGTGACAATATTTTTTCCTACAATGTTTATGAAAACATCTTAGTTCGATTTTTCAAGACTTTAAAAACCGAGGAAGAAACATGTTTTATACAGACAATTTTTATTTTTCAATATATCCTATAAAAATTAAAAAAAAATAGCTATATGCCTAGTCAAAAAAACCGGTCAAATCGGACTCCGCACTAAGGATTTCATACAAACTTGTAGGTATGTAAACACTTCGTTCGTCACGAAAATTGGGTCTGGAAGATATTTTCCGCTTTTTCCGAATATATTTTATAAGTTTCTCCCCAAAATTAGCCCGCAAAACGTGTGATTACAATATTCTAATTAAAAAATATTTTTTTTTGTGATGTAACTATAAATTTACGGATTTCGGGTTTTTCCTTTTACTTGTGCTGTAAGATATTGCTTCTTGCCAAATTTCATGATTGTAGGTCAAAGGGAAGTACCCTAAAGCCTCATCATCATCATAATAAGGTCGTCAGTCCTTAGACTGGTTGGACACGTACCTCCACTCTTTCCTATCCTGAGCTAAACTTCGCACTTCCCTAAAACTAGAACAGCCCACATCCTTAACTATTTGCGAGGAGTAATCTAAAGCCTATAGGTTTTAATTCCCTTAAGGGTGAGTGTCAACATATGCGGCACAAATTGTTGTATCTTGCGTTGACTCATGTTTCATTTTTTCACAGCACCAAGGGACTGCATAGTTTATAATTAATTTTTGAATATTATAGTTTATAAAAACTTTACATTATTGTTTTCAATATTCAATGTTATTTGCACTTACAAATTTCAAGGTATAAACATTGAAATAAATCGTTATATAAAAAAATCGGTTTTTATTGTTTTTGAATATAGCGTATCTTTTTGATCGATGAAACGATTGGAGAGGTTATTCTACATTGGTAATGACATACAAAGAAGTTTATTTCAAAATTGTTCTAGAACGTTATCGTAAAGAAAAAAAATAATTTCGGAAAAAATCGCCTGTTTTTAATGATTATTATAAATATTATGTGCTGTTATTTTTTCCGAGTAAAGCCCTTATATGTCTCTATAACGCCGTTTTTGAGAAAAAAATATTTTCTCTTTGTCGCTTTTTGGATTTATTCGGAAACCAAAATAATTACTTAGAGCTCTAAAATTTTCAGGATTAATGCATCGCATTAGTACCAATGTACCCTTAAAAAAAAACAGGTATCTCTCTCTGGGGCCGATTCACTATGCTCATCGTCCTATGACCTTTCCCAATATCAGGTCGTAGTTTTCAAAATATAATGCCCCCTTTTGACGACCGCATGTAATAAAATATCTGTATGTTCGGTTCTCAATTCGCCTGTACTGTATAAAACTGTGCAACGTGACACAATTACTTGTTGTNCGAGTAAAGCCCTTATACGTCTCTATAACGTATATAAATTTCATTA